TGCTGCTTGGCCTGCGGTGTTCATCTAGCTCTACACCTTGTTATCTCTATCAATCCCTCTTGCTGCCTTGGCTGCTTCCTCCTGCTTTTCATCCAGTTTCCCACACAACTTAGTCCATATTGCGGGGAGCAGCACCATTCTGATGAAGGGTCTAGGCCCGAAACATCAGCCTTTCTGCTCCTATGATGCTGCTTAGCCTGCTGTGTTCATCCAGCTCTGCACCTCTTTGTAGATAAGTATGTTGTGAATGTAGAAATTGTAGATGAGGATGTTGTGAATGTGGGGATTGTAGATGAGGATGTTGTGAATGTGGGGATTGTAGATGAGGACTTCGTGAATGTGGGGATTGTAGATGAAAATGTTGTGAATGTGGGGACTGTAGAAGAGGATATTATGAATATTGGACTATAGAAGAGGATATTGTGAATGTGGGGACTGTAGATGAGGATGTTGTCAAGTGGACACTGTGCATGAGGATATTGTGAATGTGAGGACTGTAAATGAGGATGTTGTCAATGTGTACACTGTAAATGATGATGTTGTGAATGAACATAGAACATAGAACAATACAGTACAGTACAGGCCCTTCGGCCCAAAATATTGTGCTGACCTATTATTCTACTCTAAGATCAAACCAACCTGCATACCCTTCATTTTACTATCATCCATGTGCTGATCCAAAGGGCCGCTTAAATGTCCCTAATATATCTGACTTTACTACCACTGCTGGCAGTGCATTCCACGCACCCACCACTCTCTGTGTAAAGAACTTACCTCTGACATCTCCTCTATACCTTCCTCCAATCACCTTAAAATTATACCCCCTTGAGATAGTCATTTGTGGGGATTGTGATGAGGACATTGTGAATGTGAGAACTGTAGACAAGGATGTTGTGAACGTGGGGATTGTAGATGAGGATGTTATGAATGTGGGGACTATAGATGAGGACGTTGTCAATATGGACACTGTACATGAAGATGTTTGAATGTGGTAGTTCAGGGACCATACTTGTGGTGGTAGTTCAAAACTGTGCATTCAACAGACAGATTTGTCACAAGGAACTTCTCAGTGACTTCCAGTGCCTCTTATTCCTTGATCCAAATGATGTATCCTGGTAGAACCTGCTCAGGAAAGTTGGTCTGTATAGCGCACTAAGAGGGAAAAGTGAGGAACAGGTCATCACGGAGTGGGTAAGTGAGGTGCAGCATGAATGGCTTCAGCCAGGTCATGAGTATTCTATTGGAAGTGTTGATGAGGATATGGTAGATGGGGTTGACTTTGTCACTGGGGACAATGAGGAGTTGATACCATCAGTGGGGACAGTGTGGAGCCGACATTGTCACTGGTAACAGAGCTGAGCCAATACTGTCACTTGGGACAGTGCAGAGCCGGTACTAACTGTGGGGACAGTGTGGAGCTAACAATGTCTGTGGGGACAGTGTAGAGTCAACACTGTCTGTGATTCTATGATTCACAACACTGTCACTGGGCTAAATGCAGAGCCAACATTGTCTGTGGAGACAGTGCAGATGTGAGCATTATCTGAGTGGACAGTACAGATTTAACACTGCCCATGGGGACACTATTGAGCTAAATACGTCTCTGGGGACAGTGCAGAGCTAACACCATTTGTGGTGACCGTGCGGCTCTTTCGCTGTGTGGATAGTGTGGAGCCAACACTGTTACTAGGGACAGTGTGGAGTTGACGAGGCACCTGAGATAGAGCCATAGAGTATCACAGCATGGAAACAGGCCCTTCGGCTCAAACTGGTCCATGCTGACCATGGTGGCCACTCAGCTAGTTCCAATTACCCACATTTGGTCCATATCCTTCCAAACCCTTTCTATCCATGTACCTATCCAAATGTTTTTTAAATGTTGCTATTGTACCTGCCTCAACAACTTTCTCCGGCAGCCCCATTCCATATACGCACCACTCTCTGCGTGAAGAAGTTGCCCCTCAGGGCCTTCTTAAATCTATCTCCTCTCACTTCAAACCAATGCCCTCTAGTTTTCCAATCTCCATCCCTGGAAAAAAGACGATATGCATTCATCCTATCTATGCCCTCATGATTTTATACACCTCAATAATGTCACCCCTCATTCTCCTACATTCCAAGGAATAAAGTTTTATCCTGGCCAACCTGTCCCTACAACTCAGGCCTACTAGTCCTGGCAATATCCTCGTAAAGCTTCTTTGCACACTTTCCACTTTAACCATGTCTTTCCTGTAACAGGGTGACCAAAACTGTACACAATGCTCCATGTGCAGCCTCACCAATGACTTATACAACTGTAACATAATATCCCAACTCTTATACTCAATGCCTCGAAGGATGAAGGCTGGCATGCAAAATGCCTTCTTCACTACCTTGTCCACCTGTGACATCGCTTTCAACGAACTATAAACTTGTACTCCTAGGTTCTCTGTTCCACAACACTCCTCAGGACGTTACCATTTACTGTATGAGTCCTACCTTGGTTTGACTTTCCAAAATGCAACACCTCACACTTATCTGTATCGAATTGTATTTGCCAATCCTCAGCCCACTTCCCCATCTGATCAAGATCGTTCTGTAAGTTTTGTTAACCTTCTTCGTTATCAATGATACTCTTAATTTTGTATCATCCACAAACTTACTAATCATGCCGTGTACATTCATATCCAGATCATTTATGTAAATAACAAATAACAAAGGTCCCAGCACCGACCACTGTGGCACACCATTTGTCACAGACCTCCAGTCCGAGAAATAACCTTCAACCATCATCCTCTGCTTCCTTCCATCGAGTCAGTTTTCAATCCAATTAGCTAGCTCTCCCTGGGTCCCATGTGACCTAACTTTTAAGACTAGCCTGCCATGCAGGACCTTGTCAAAGGCCTTACTAAAGTCCATATAGACAACATCCACTGCTCTACCCTGATCCATCCTCTTGGTTATCTCTTCGAAAAACTCTAAAAGATTTGTCATACATGACTTCCCACGCACAAATCCATGCTGACTATCCCTAATCAGACCTTGACTATCCAAATGTTGGTTGATCCTGTCCCTCAGTATCCTCTCCAGTAACTTGCCTACCAGTAATGTTAGGCTCACTGGCCTGTAGATCCCTGGCTTGTCTTTGCTGCCTTTCTTAAACAATGGAACAGCATTAGCCAACGTCCGGTCTTCTGGAACTTCACCAGAGTCTAAAGATGAAGCAAAAATCTCTGAAAGGGCCTCTGCAATTTTGTCCCTAGCCTCTCACAACATCTGAAGATGGACTTGAACAGGCCCAGTCTAATGAGGTCTAAGGCTGCAAACACCTCCTCTCTGGTAATGTGAATGTGGTCCAAAACATTCCCATTTGTTTCCCTTATTTCTTTACAATCCATGATTCTCTCTTCTCTCTTCAGTAAACACTGAGGAGAAATGTTCATTAAAAATGTCCCCCATCTCCTGTGGCCCCACACATTGACAGCCATGTTGATCTTTAAGGGAACCTATTCTCTCCCGAGCCACCCTTTTACTCTTATTATAGCTATAGAACCTCTTGGGATTATCTTTAACCTTTTCTAGAGTATAGAACATAGAACATAGAACAGTACAGCACAGTCCAAGCCCTTCGGCCCATGATATTGTGCCGACCTATTATCCTACTAAGATCAAATTACCCTGCATACCATACATTTTACTATCCTCCATGTGCCTATCCAAGAGTTGCTTATAAGTCTCTAAAGTATCTGACTCCACTACCACTGCCAGCAGCGCATTCCACACGCCCACTTATCTGCCAGATCCATCTCATACCCTCTTTTTGCTCTTCTGATTTCCCTCTTAAGTGCTCCTACACTTTTTATAGTCATCTAGGGATTCACTTGAGCCCGATAGCTTAAACCCCACGTATGCCTTCTTCTTTTTCCTGACCAGAACCTCAATATCCGTCATCAGCCAGGCATCCCTAAACCTGCCAGTTTTTGCCTTCACCCTAACGGGACATACTGTCCCGGGACTCTTGCTATCACACTTTTAAAAGCCTCCCATTTGCTCGTCGTTCTTTTTCCTTCAAACAGACTCACCCAATCAACCCTTGCTAGATCCTGCCTAATTGCCCAAAAATCTGCTCCAGTTTAGCATCTTAACGTGTGGACCTGTCCTATCTTTTTTCATAACTATGTTAAAACTAAGAGAGTTATGGTCACTGGACCCAAAGTGCTCCCTGACTACACTTCAGTCACGTGCCCGACCTCGTTTCCTAACAGGAGGTCCAGTATTGCACCCTCCCGAGCAGGGTCCTCTGCATATTGATTTAGAAAACTTTCTTGGACTCATTTGACAAATTCCACCCCATCTGGGCCTTTTACACTCTGGGCGGCCCAGTCAATACAGGGTAAATTAAAATCTCCAATCAATACTACTCTATTATTCCTACAGATATCTGCAATCTCTCTACACATCTGCTCCTCTAGGACCTACTAGCTATTTGGGGGTCTATAATATAGTCCCAAAAGTGTGGCCATACCCTTCTTGTTTCTAATTTCTATCCATATGGCCTCATTTGATATCCCTTAAGAATATCCTCTCAAAGCAATGTTGTAATGTCCTTCCCTATCAAAACGGCAACTCTCCCTCCTGGCTTACTTGTACTTCTGACATGCCTGTAGCTTCTGTATCCTGGAACATTGAGCTGCCAGTCCTATCCTTCTCTCAGCCATGTTTCTGTTATGGCAATAATATCCCATTCCCAGAGCCAATCCATACTCTGATCTCTTCTGATCATTGGTCAGAGTTTGTATTTATTAGGGAGTCTGGACTGATGGTTGATGGAAGCATATGTTACAGAATCTTCGATGTATATATTACAGAGCTGACCTTCCCTACAGTGGGAGTAACTCCATCGTCTTGCCTGCAGCTTACCATTGCCTGCTCAATCCTGGTATCAATGGCAACTGGACCTGCTCCTGAGGCTCTATATCACACAGACAGAAAAAAGGGAATTAATACATTCAACATTGTTATAAGCAAGACCTCTGGTGATATAGTGTCAAGAGATGTGACTTCTTCATAAAATGCAGAAACCTGTAAGGAACATCGGTTAGACACGGTAAACTATGTGCAGTTCTGGGCACTATTCTATAATTAGGGTGTAGAGGCACTTGAGAGTTTGCAGAGATTAATCAGACAAGAGTAATATCAGTAATGTGTGAGCTTAGATATGCCCCTCATCATGGCCTTTCTCTCTGTTTCTCCCTTTTTTATCCCTGTGTCTGCTGTGTGTGTGCATGTGTGCTCCCTCTTTATATCCCCTCTCTCACTCTTCCTTTTCTTCCTCTCACTCTTGCTGTCTTCATACACTCTGTGTTGTCTCTCTCTCTCTCTGTCATCTCCCTCTTTTTCTCTGTACTCCGGTTCTCTCTGTTTCTCTTTCTCACTCATTCACTCTGTCCCCTCTCTCACCCTCTCTGTTCTACCTCTCTCTCTCTGCCTTCACTCACTCAGTGTCCTCTCTCTCTGTGATCTCACTCTTTCTATGTACCCCAGATCTTTGTCTCTCTCCCACTGTCTCTATGTTCTCTGTCCCTCATTCAATCTCTCTATCTTGTCTCTCTGCCTCACTCTGTGTCTTCTCTCTCATTGTCATCTCTCTCTTGCCTGCTTTTTCTCTCACTCATTCATTCACTCTTTCTGTCCTCTTTGATTCTCACTCTATCCTCTCTCTGTGTTCTCCCTCTGTGTGTCTATCTGTCTCTATCCGTCTCCTCTCCCTCTGTGTCTCTTTCTTTCCCTCTGTCCTCTGTCTCCCTCTCACTGTCCTCTGTTTAAGTGTCTTGTGTGTCTACCTGTCTGTCTCTTTCCTCTCCCTCTGTCTCTGCCTGTCCTCTCTCTCTGTCTGTCCTCTTTCCCTCTGTCTGTCGCTCTGTTCTCTCTGTCTGTGTCCTCTGATTCTGTGAATATCAAATCTTGGGTTCCAAATGAAATTCATATAAGAAGTGTCACTAAACAAAGTGAGGCAGAAACCCATAAACAGGAGAGGCTACTGCGAAGTAAAGCTGAGTTCAGCTTCACACCATCAACGAAGCAAAGCTCAAATCAGTAAATACAGACACACAGGAATGAATTCTTGTTGATATAAATGTGTTTTACAGAGAATTAAATTTCAGCTGGATGTAGCTGAGTGTTCCTGTTTGCCCCTGTGTCTGTGAAGAGGAATCTGCTCACTGCATGAACAATGAGCTGGACAGTTCCCCGTCACAAAGTTTACAAAGAGAGTTTTGTTAATACACCACTACTGAGCTCCACAACAAGCAGCCCTCTGTCTGCTGGCTGCACTCAGAAGTTGGCTCATCTGTGGCAAGGCAGAATGATTTGACCATAATTGAATACTTGCCAATTTTCTGGATGAGTGGAGTATGATCAGCATTTCACCCCCATCTTCAGCATTCAATCCTTCCACCACCAGTGCTTACCATCTACAAGACATATTCTGGAAATTCACTAAATTCACCTGGGATGGCACCATCCAAACCCACAACTTCTACCATTGAGAAGGACAAAGGCAGCAGCTGCATGGGAACACCACCTCCTGCAAATTCTCCTCCAAGCCAGTCACCATCCTGACTTTTTTTTCCCCCCTTAGACACTGTATTCTTAGACTCCCTACAGTGTGGACTTGTTGGGCCAAAAGGCCTGTTTCCACACTGTAGGGATTCTCAGAGGATCCCACCCACACCCATCCCCTATAACCCAACTAATCTACACATCCCTGAACACTACGGGCAATTTAGCATGGCCAATCCACCTAGCCTGCACATCTTTGGACTGTGGGAGGAAACTGGAGCACCCAAAGGAAACCCACGCAGACACGGGGAGAATGTGCAAACTCCCCACAGATAGTCACTGAGAGTGGAATCGAACGCGGGCTCCTGGTGCTGTGAGGCAGCAGTGCTAACCACTGAGCCACTGTGCCCCCCCACCCTGGTGAGTTGGAAATATACTGCCATTCCGTCAGTGTTATTAGATTCATATCACTTTCCATTTAAAATCATCATTCTCTACTATCCACTTTACATCACTTTTTTCTCACTGTGTGTTGATAATGCTTTCATCCTCCAACATCTTTGCGAACTCATGATTTAATCTCCTTCATAACTCATCATTTTCTGCTGTCCCATTCTCCATCAACCTCTCCCTCCATAGAAATCCCACCGAAATACAAAGACAGCCTCAACATCTCACTTTGCCTCACTGCCCAATTCATCAATCATCACAAGGTTTAAGACCATCTTCCATCTCTTCTCTACATGGCTGCACACTCCCTTTTCCTACCCCACCTTACAACATTTACTCTGAAAAGCAAATCTCACTCTTCCTTAAACTTTCAAACCCCAACTGTCTTCAACATAATAAATAACTGATCAATTCAATTAAACCCTCAATCTGCTTTTTGATCCACTAAAACCATTACTCTCTCTCACCCTGATATGACTCAGAATTCTGTGCCTTCAGGGATGCAGATTGAACATTTGTGGTTTAGTCATTCATATCCAGATTCAGCTATAGCATGCCAATCGTAATTGGTTCCTGTTCTTGGGGGAACAAAAAGTTCATTATTTCAGAATTGCACTGAAGCACAAAGTTCGTTATTTACTTTTCCTTTTCAAAAGACCAATTTCTTAAACCTCTATCCTAACCTCTGTGCTCATGTCACCATAAAGTACAAACAGCTCATTGACCTCTTTCTGACAAAAATTGAAACCATCCATTCTGTTGCCTCTGATACTTCTATGCTTTACCCTAGCTGGGATCGGGTAGCTTTGTTGGCTGGATGGCTACTTCGTAATGCTAACGCCATTGATTCAATTCCTCACCGGCTGTGTAACCATGAAGGATTCTCCTTCTCAGCCTCTGCCCTTGCCTGAGGCATGGTGATCTTCAAAATAAACCAACACCACCCTTGTCTCTTCAGCAAGAGAACATCCCAATGATCCAATATGACTATGGCAAATTTTACTCTAGCCCACCAGGCCAGGCCAATCATACTCTCAGGCCGGAGGTCATAGATTTCTCTGTTCTGAGGAGAACAATATCCACATAACTGAAGTCCTGCAGCCTTGTACCATTCTAGTAAATTCCTCAGCATCCCGGCTAGCCCTGTTATCCTTCTTCAACTGTTGTATCCAGAATTGAACCCGGTACCCTTGTGCAAACCAAATCAGTATTTTATAAAATGACATACTCGTCAGGTTCATCAAGGCATATACCAGAGAGCAAAGTTTCGAATTCTGACCCTTGGGTAACTCCACTCACCCCTTCCCATCTGCAGAAACAAACATTAATCATTATTTTCAACTCTCTGTCTATTATCCAATCTGCACTCACTCTGCCTTCAATCTTATGGCTTCCATTTTGGCCAAAAAGCCTATGATGTGATATTTCGTCAAATGCCTTTCAAGACTGAGTGTACACAAAATCAACCATGCAACCCTCTTTGATCCTTTTAATCGTCAAAGTCATACAGGGTTTGCAAACTCCAGCAAGCTTGTTGTTTATTATTTTGACACCATCACCTTGATAACTTGTTATGATCGCTCTACCTTGATAAGTTTGTACACTTTTGGATTACTTGTTATTTTGGTTAGACCTTCTCATGTGACTGTTATACCTATCATGTTATTCTAGCCATTTGTTTTGTCTCTAGCATCATTTTATTTTTGATTTTTTTGTAATTATCTCTCTGCCTTAATTAATCTGATCCAAGGTCATCCCTTCACCTGCTATTCAGCTGTTGACACTTTACTCACAGCATCTGACACTTTTGATCACCTGCAAAGACTTGTTATTCAGCCTGTCAACACTCAACTCACACCATTTATACCATCTTTACACACTGTTAATTTTCTGAAACTATCTTGCAATGATCTCTTTGCCTATAAATTCTGTGTCTGTCCGCTTCCCTCCACTTCACCTGACGAAAGCGCAGTGCTCCAAAAGCTTATGATTTCAAATAAACCTACTGAACTATAACCTGGTGTCATGTGACTTCTGACTTTGTCCACCCCAGTTCAGCACCAGCACCTCTGCATTATTAATTTGAAACATCAATTAATTTTGTTGCAGGTTGTTTCTCTAGATCTGAACCATCTCTTTTTTTGAGGCATGTCACTGTTCAATTACTTTATTGATGACCAACATTTCATTCCAATGTATCTGAAACAGATCCCTTTTTACTTTGCTGAAGTTAGTCTTCCTCCAATTATTTATTATTGTGTTGGCGAGTACAGTCCCACTGAAGCAAGCATCTTCTTCCTCACTTTATTCTCCAGAACTAGATCCAACACTCTTCCCTTTCTGATTTGGCTAGACGCACACTAGTGTCTTGCAGGCATTTTAGGAATTCCTGCCCCTCTTCATCCTTTACACTGTTCTTATTGTAGTTTGTCTTAGGATAACTTAATCTTCTATTATCACAACTCTGTAGTTCTTGTGTTTTTCTGCAATTTGCCTGCAAAATCACTCCTCTATCCATCCTTACTCTTGTCATCAATGGCAGTTAGGTAGCATGCTACATAGCTGCCTTAATAAAAACACAAAGTGCTGGAAAAACTCAACAAGTATGTCAGCAACTGTGGAGAGAGAAACAGCTTTAATGTTTGAGTCGAAACTGAAGAAGAATCTTATTGGACTCAAAACGTTAACTCAGTTTCTCTTTTTCTGCAGCTGCTGCCAAACCAGCTGCATTTCTCCGGAATTTTCTGCTTTTATTTCATTTCCAGGGTACAAAGTATTTTGCTTTTATGATAGCTGTTTATTGTTCTGATTCCTGATGAAATGATACTGTCTCTCACCCTTCAATGAGATCATCCCTCTTCCAAGTTTTCTTGATCAATTCCTTATTTCTTTCCTGCACTGTCGTTCCTCAAGATCTTGCAGACAGGAATATTCATTTCTCAGCCCTCTCAATTTTGGCTT